ACTGATAGTTACACGCAAAAAGTGAGGTAAAATAACCGAGCTTCACCTCAGCTTTCTCTACTCAATGTCAGCGCCGGCTTGTAACGTGACTTAGACTTATAATTAGACGACATAACCAAACAACAGGGGTGTGTTGAGCTCCCCCCCCCCCCCCCCCCCCCCCCCCCCCTCTTCACGTAATAATTACAATATATAGATACATTCGTATAGTCATACACTACGCACAGGATAAACGGTCAACAGTGTATAAATCTTTTGTTTGAGTCTCACAGTACAACTTCCACCAAGGCAGGACAAATACGAGGACACGCCGACTCGCCGGACCACCCCCGGCTTGGCACTCCATTTTAATAATGACATAACCATTACAGGGAGCGTCCTCCGTCTAGTCTAATTCTCCGAGATACTAGGGACATAGTACTTTCAGCTGGCGGTGAGTCAGCTTCAGTTAGGGGAGAGCCTCTTTGAGGGGGTTCCTTGTTCCATGCTACACAACGTACGTTTCAGGAGAGGGAAAACACAGACATAATACTATACAGTAAGCGTACACAGTAATTTGACGGTGTGTAGTCACAATGTGTAGTTGTTATAAAGTGGAGGAAATGTGTCTCTCGTCAAAACTCGTACGTCGGTGGACAATTGGCGAGACGTCCTATGTCCGGTTTGGAAAGAGGAGCCCAGGACTTACGCAAAACGCTTTCTCTTAACGTTGTTGCAACTGCAGTCAAAGCACAGTCCGTACTCGAAACAGGACCTGAGTTTTAGGTTTACCGAAAGTCCCTCGTCTCATAAGGTATAGTACCCTACAACTTACAACAACTACTCAAGGATCAACGACTCTAATTGATTTCCGCATGGTCGGATAGTAGTTGATCATTTACTCCATCAATGTCGTGTCGTGTAGGAAGTAAATGAGGTGCAGGCAGGTTTGGTAGTTTGGGTGAGTCCCCTTCCGAGACATTTATACATTTTTTTTTATTTTCTTTTAGACTATTCGACTTACGAAAGTGGTTAAATTATCACTATGTACGACATATAGTCCGGAATTTTACAGGGTCATTCGTTTGGGGTAATCTCGATAAAGTGGTACAGTGTTTCCGGATTGGAGTCGTCCCATTATAATTTTGCCGCACGAGAAAACGACGTAATGTAATGGCGGATTTCTAAAGCTAGTTGAGTAGCACTTCAAATGTTTTGGCTCTATGAAACCTGATGTACTTGACATGATTCTGTTTTCTTCAAGTTTGTATCTTCTTGGTCAAATGCACTTCTTGTAAGTTGCTTTGGATAAAAGCGTCACCTAAATGCCAACAATAATATTGTAACTATTCAACCAGTTTTATTATTGAAAAAACGAAATCATTCTTAATTAGTTTGGTTATTAATCTTTTTGTATTGAGTTCAGCAGGTGAAGTCGACACGACGAAGTTGATCAATGCAATGACACTGTATAAACCAAAATGCATAATTTAAAGTTGTTAAAAAGGTAAAAGTGTGCGATATATGTTTTTGTAATTATTACTCATATCGCAAATAACAAACTGTGATAACATCTTATTGTGTTGTTATTTTCCCCGATTCTTTAATTGACTTTTTTCATACAGGATTTATACCGGGCAAAAGTGGGCATATATACTAAAGTATCGTACTTCAGTGCAAAAGTCAGGTGGTTTTATTTAATGCCACTTACTGTACACCTTTACTCCACTACAATCCAAAAGGAAAATATTCTACTTTCTAATGTACTATATGTATCTTCATTTACATTAGAAATCAAGGTCTTTACATAAAGAATACAGTAGTTTCTTAAATCTAATGCTTTGTTATAAATGAAACTTTAAAAAACGTAAACAAGAACAGCTTAGTTGATTAATCAATTTAGGGATAATTAATTGGTATCTATAAAGTCAATTTCATAAATGTTGAATTTAATTTGAGATATCTTTGCATTTGTTAATTTGACATGTAATGCTTTAACGAAACACATTGACAACGAAGGACTTTTTCTTGTACCAGAATATTTGACCAGTACTGTATTAGTACTTTTAATTAATTAAAATTCCACCTCTGGATAAACCACAACACTTAAATCTTCTCAGTCAAAACCCCCCATTGAATGGC